ACATCACACATTGACCTGATGACATCACACATTGACCTTATGACATCACACATTGACCTTATGACATCACACATTGACCTTATGACATCACACATTGACATCACACATTGACCTTATGACATCACGCATTGACCTTATGACATCACACATTGACCTTATGACATCACACATTGACATCACACATTGACCTTATGACATCACACATTGACATCACACATTGACCTTATGACATCACGCATTGACTTTATGACATCACACATTGACCTTATGACATCACACATTGACTTTATAACGTCACACATTGACCTTATGACATCACACATTGACTTTATGACATCACACATTGACCTTATGACATCACACATTGACCTTATGACATCACACATTGACCTTATGACATCACACATTGACCTTTGTTACCGTTCCTTTGAGCTGTTTGACCTCACTTTGGGATCCCTAACCACTTCCTGTTTCTGTGCTTAACTTCATGTCCTAACCTTCCAGCTACAGGAAGGGCTTACTGTATTTCAAAATAAAAGCACACAGCAAGTAAAGTACTCTCAGTTTAAGACAGGACAAAACATTCAAAATAAAAGCCCCCCCAAAAAACCTGTGAGATTATGGAATTTCAAACATGTAATTAAAAAATATATTTGTATTTTGTTAAATGTAACTTGATCTTATCAGAGCCATTCATGAACGTGCGTATGTCCCGTCTGTGTGCCTCCTCAGGCCTGTGGTGCGTTCACTGAAAGAGACGGGGAAAGTGAAACCAGAGCTCTTCGAGGAGGTGACCATTTACTTCAGCGACATTGTGGGTTTCACCACACTCTGTCACTACAGCACGCCCATTGAGGTGGTGAACATGCTCAACCACATCTACAAGCACTTTGACAGCATCCTCGACCACCATGACGTCTACAAGGTAGATAGACTTGAGCTTATATAACCCCCCCCACCCCCGTAAGAAAAAAAGCTAAACGTACACCACAAAGTCATATATCAGGGTAATACTTTGGAACTAATCAAATGCACACAAATGTAAAAAACAACAGACTGCAATCCAAATCAAAGTCATCACAAAACAATCTGTAACAAAACAGCTACCTGCTAGCATGAGCTAAAGTTAGCCTGAGGCACACATGTTCAGACAGCAGCTGACTTCATGCAGCTCGTTCAGACAGTCCTCCTGATATCCCCTCTGTTAGCTCTCTCTTTGTTAGCTCCATGAAGCTAAAACATTTTCTGCTATAAACTCTCACCATGAAGATCCATTTTACAACCAATTAAATAACATCTCAAATGTACAGCTTCCTGCTCGCCCCGTGGTCTGACCTTGTGTTTGACCTTGTGTTTGACCTTGTGTCTGACCTTGTGTCTGACCTTGTGTCTGACCTTGTGTTTGACCTTGTGTTTGACCTTGTGTTTGACCTTGTGTCTGACCTTGTGTCTGACCTTGTGTCTGACCTTGTGTTTGACCTTGTGTTTGACCTTGTGTTTGACCTTGTGTTTGACCTTGTAATCAGAAGCATGTTTCTGATGTTTGTCTGCCAGTGTTAGCTTCTGTTTCTGTCCCAGAGAAGCTAATGGCTTCTGCTAGCTGGTGGAGCAGGAAGGGAGAGGTGAGGGAGGGAGGGGGCGGGGCCCATGTATATGGGCGGGGCACTTCAGAACAAAGGGAGGTGTGGCCAATGAGAAGTTTTGTTGGAGACTGGTGCTGAAGTGTGACATCTGCTGGACATGAGATTATAGAATAACATTAATGAATAACAACATTTAAACTGTATTAGATTTATTTTTTATATCTACTAACATGAAACATTCACTGATGTATTTGAATATTTCATTCATAATCACTTTATATTAAATGTAAGATATGTTTTGAAAAAAGGAGAGAGGTTAGAACACAGAAAGGTTTACAGACCCATGCAGAGCTGGATAAACACTGAAGCTTCAGAGTCCACCACATGGTGACCTGAGTGAGCATCCACTCTAGAGAGGGGGGGGGGGGACAGCTCTCTATGATGTTTAGAATTTAGACCCACTTTAACCACTAGGGGTCAGAGTTAGCTATGGATTCTCTTAATAATAATTTAAAAAACATCTTTATGAATTCCTCTCAGGTGGAGACGATCGGTGATGCGTACATGGTTGCGTCCGGTTTACCTAAACGTAACGGTGACAGTCACGCCGTGGACATCGCCCACATGGCTCTGGACATCCTGGCTTTTGTGGGGACTTTTGAACTGCAGCACCTGCCAGGTATCCCTCTGTGGATCCGGATCGGCGTGCATTCAGGTACATGAACTTCAGTCGGCTATCAGTGTGATTTATTTAAAACACAGAGCATTGCATTCATAAATAAACAGAATCATTAAGATGTCTTTATTTGTGTGCTGTAGGTCCGTGTGCAGCAGGAGTTGTGGGGAACAAGATGCCTCGTTACTGTCTGTTTGGAGACACGGTCAACACAGCATCACGCATGGAGTCCACAGGCCTGCGTAAGCGACAACACACACACACACCATCATCATCAACATCTGGTATGGGAAAGTGTTTGAAAATGTAGACTACCTCACACACGTCTCCTTCTCCTTTCCCAGCTCTGAGGATTCACGTCAGTGGGTCGACCATCAGCATCCTGCAGAGGACAGACGGAAAGTTTGAGTATGAAAAAAGAGGAGAGACGTACCTGAAGGTTAGTTCTTTCTGCTACCCTAACCCTAACTACATCAAATCTAAACCTTACAATTTTTAATGTGTGTGTGTGTGTGTGTGTGTGTGTGTGTGTGTCGCTCCCACAGGGCAAAGGCAAAGAGATAACGTACTGGTTAACAGGAGTGACAGGAGGGAATTACAACCTGCCGACACCACCGACAGCGTGAGTGAAACCCGGTCTGAACACTCTGCTCATGTCCTCTCCGATCCAGCTTTATTTAAAGCGCTCATTTTAAAAACAGCAGTTTTTACTAAAGGGCTTTACAGTCCACAAAACAGCGGTCGCTCATCAATAACAAATAATGATGATGAGAAAAAGAGTAAAAAATCATATAAAGCAGATAAAAGAATTAATGACAAAAGGAACGAGAATACATCGGTCGCATTCAGAGTTAAAACCAAGGTGTAAAAATTAGGACAAGAGTTAAGAACCGGCAGTGTGGGGGCTCGTTAAAAGACGGGCATCAGTGTTTGGACCAACTGAAGTGGAGAAAGGGACGCCTGACTTTGGGAGTCATCTGCGTAAAAGTGGAATGAGAGGTCGGCCATGTTTTTCACAAATCAATCCCATGGGAAGTAGGTAGAGGGAAAAGAGCATCGGGCCAAGGATTGAACCCTGGGGTACTCCACATGGGATGGGAGAGTTGTGGAGGAGTCGCTGAGGCTTACAGTGAAACTATTTGTGACTACCATTTGTAGGACATTCCTTTGATGCCCACACAGGGAGAACAAGACAAGAAACGAGAGCAAGTATCGAACATTTTCACGACCTTACTGTATAAACAAACTTCTAGTATGAGTATTCTTACAAACAACAATGCAGAAAGTCATATTCATGTGCATATAACCCATCCTTCTGTATGAGACCCACTCGACTCATGTTTTCATAAAGCTCCACATGACCTCCTGCAGCATTCATGTCTATAATCTGAAATGTTCCCCGCGTCTCGTCTCAGGGAGAACTTCCAGCAGCTGCAGCAGAATCTGGCCGAGATGATCGTTTCCAGTCTGGAGCAGCGAGGAGAAGGGAGTGAGCGCTTCAAAAAGACCCTGTCCACGAGAGTCAGTCAGAGGGAGACCAACAGCGGCCTGCAGGGCGGCGACAGCCCCCCCGACTACTTCCACCTGGCTGTCACAGATAACCCCAGCACCTACCTGTGATCACAGCGGCGCTCTGAAAAGGAGTAGACGATGTAGGCGTGGCTCTGTTCTGTCCAATCAGAGCTGCTGGTCTGTGTGGACAGGTCACTTAATTCAGCGTCCTGTGACATCAGAGCAGCAGGGGACGGCTGCTGCAGCGCCACCCGTCTCTCTCTGCATCAGGACGTGAACATCAGACTGAACCACCCACAGACATGAAATATAAAATATGTGGTATAAATAAGCTCCTTCTCTTTTTTTCTTGTTGGACTGAAACGTTTTCACTGCGGCTGTTTTCTACGTGATGAACTGAGCTTTTTTATAACAAACATGAGAAATGACCACATTCAAAAAGCCACCACCTGGGGGCGCCAGAGTCAAATAAATCTACATTCCTGAAGTAAATAGATGGAAATTATTTAGATTTAACCATGTTTTGGCCTTTCAGATAATATTTTTCCATGTCATTAAATCATTTGTGTGAAGTGATGTTTTTTGCATTCAGTCAAATGTTTTTGCAGTTGACCTTCAGGGCCACTGTAGATTTACATCTTTAATTAGTTCTTAATTCTTTTACATCCAAACTGTATTCAGCAAACTCCTGCAAACTATCTAAAGTGCACAAATACTAAAATGTTGTCTCTCTCTGTCTCTGCCGCTTTTAGTTAAAAGTCTTTTTCCCTGTGGACAATAATAACTCACACACCGAGTGTACTCTCTCACCTTTGAAGAGGTCTCTGTTTTTATTTAAATCTTTCACACAGGAAGCTCGTCATTAAGAAACCTATTTATCGTGTAAATAGCTCCTTTCTGTTCTGCTGCAGAGACGGTGAGTCGTCATCCTGACAGGAGAACATTTGAGGTTTCTTTTTTTTTTTTAAGTTTTATTTTTGGGCTTCTCATGCCTTTAGTGGAGAGATAGGACAGTGGATAGAGTCGGAAATCAGGGAGAGAGAGAGAGTGGGGAATGACATGCAGGAAATGAGCCACAGGTGGGATGTGAGCCCGGGCTGCCTGCTTGAGACTACAGCCTCCATACATGGGGAGCACGCTCTAACCACTGCGCCACCAGCGCCCCACATGTGAGGTTTCTGTGATGATTTGATGTTTCAATAAAAAAAAGTTTGAAATAAAGAATCAGGTTCAGAGCAGTTTAAACTTTTAATAACACTTCACAGTAAAGAACAGGAAACTGAACACACTAGGAGACTCCACATCTCTGCTCCTTTGAAAAACAGTGCAGCGACCTCTTAAAAAAGACGGCTGCAAAAAAACAATTCAAATATGATCTAAAATGTTCAGAAGTCTGAAGTGAACATGCATCCATGTTTTATTTTCACGCCTTCTCGAGTAAACTAAGACTGGCTACATGAGGTATGTCAAAACTGATTATGTGTCCAAACAATCCTCCAGTGTGTGGAGTCACCACAATGACTCTACCGCTCCTGATCCAGGCGCAGTCTCTCACACGAGTCAACTTCCTGATACATGTCTGTGTTTAACATCTGAGAGGAAACGAGCTTGTTCTCTAAACAGAGTTCAAGAAAACAAACGGATAAAAGTCCGCTTCAGAACTTCTGTGAAAACCATCAAAATATGGTGGAGAATAAAGAGATCCAAAATGTGAATCAAAATGAGAAAAACTAACCACGAAGTGTAGAGTGCATGCAGTGAAGAACACACACACACACACACACACACACACACATCTACACAGTTTTGGTGGTGACTAACACCGTCCCACCCAGCTCCGTGGCAGGGAGGGGGACTCTGTGCTCCAGTCCTCTCTCCACCCGCGTCCCAGCATGCATTGGGGGGCACCGACAGGTGGTGAAGTCCTCCTCCCACTCCCATCCTGTTTGGGCGCCCGGGTGCAGGTGAGCGCTGCAGGGCGGCTGCGAGGGGAGAACCACCGGCTCACGCTGCTTCTCAGAGTCGTCTGAAAGATGAGGGGGAAACCAACTACGTTACCACGGCAACAGAAGGTTAAGAGTTTGTTTTGCAGGTCCCGTGCGTGGACATTTCTACATCACAGAGTTCAGATATTTAAGACGGATCAGGGAGTTCACAGAAATAAAGGAGGGGCGCCCGTCAACATCACGGTACCCCCTGAGGACCCGGTCTGCCACTCCATGTGGGACGTGGTTTAGGAATGGTCCATAAAGGATCAAAACCTGTCTCATTTCAGTTTCATATTTAGGGCCCATTGGAGTCGTCCTCACTCTTCTCCCCGACGTGGCGCCCTGTTCATGACACACATTAATGTAAACACTGAACAGCAGCGTCCTCACACAGACGATACAAACCCGTAACGGCGTGGAGTCAAAGATGCTTTTACTGAATCACAATAGATCACATGTGAAACAATGAGGTGTCTCACTTCAGCTAAGTGAAAAGAGCTGATACCCTAATCTAGTTTCAGACGTTCTCGTTGTCCTGAGGAGGAGAACGCTCCATTCACAGAATCACGCGGTGGAGACGGACGCACGCGCTCTCTCACCGGGTTTAAGACGCACATGAGCTGCATGCAAGACGATTGAAACCTCGGTCAGGAGGATCACGCAGACATTGTTTTATGTAAAGAATCCAAACTTAAGCCGAGCAGCGTGATGTGCTTTCATCGACATTAAAGATATTAGAGTGTTTAAGAGATCACTGACTGTTTAATCCTCTGGTTTTAACCATTTGTCCACCAAATACACTCGTGCTGTTCACCACTATAAGAGACCGTTTAAGAGTGTGTGTGTGTTCTGAATCTGCAGATGTGTGTGTGTGAACCAGAATAACTGTTAGAGAGCTGCATGCCGACCCTGGGGACGCCCGCCAAGAAGAGAACAGAAACTGTGCAGTTTCTACCGTGGTGTTCATGAGCGTCACACTTCATCACCTGCACGCCTGCAGACGCACGCTGCGACATGTTTTCACATCACGAAGAACGATTTCTGAACGAGGGGCCGTCACCACACCAGAATGTGAAACTTTGATATGATTCTAGTTTAAATCAAACGATGTTGATTCCTGTTTAATACCAAGGCTCCTCCCTCTTTTACAAACGTTGTCCGTGTAGTTTGGATTTGTTTGGACCAGAGAAGGTAGACGGTTTTAAGGCGACCCCCCCCACACGGCCATTTTGGACGCCCCTCGGTTTGCCAGATATGAGAGCAGTTATCAGGTCAACAGGTGAAGTGGTTCAGATAGAAGTGATTGTACCCGACCTAAAAAGCCTCTGCATGTTTCTAATAAGCTCCACGAGCAGAAACGTGCTCAAACTAGGATCAATATTGGAGATGCTTTTGAAAAATGGAGAGAGGTTAGAACACAGAAAGGTTTACAGACCCATGCAGAGCTGGATAAACACTGAAGCTTCAGAGTCCACCACATGGTGACCTGAGTGAACATCCACTCTAGAGAGGAGGGGGGAGACAGCTCTCTATAATGTTTAGAAACTGGACTGCAGTACCCATTTTAAACACTAGGTGTCAGAGTTACAGACTGCTCCTTTAAATGTTTGTTTTTAAAGCTTCTGAACGTTTTGATTCTTTCCTCCGTTTAAATAACAGAGAGTGCATCGTATTAAAACATCTGGTACTCTGAACAAAGTGTCATGAGCGAGGAAGATGAAGTTCAGGTCAGGATTTGTTTTTGTTCAATGACTCACCTGCTGAAACCCGAACGTATCTGACACATGATACCGACTATTATAACTCAAACTAGCAGCAGCTGCTTCTAGAACAACAGGTGGAAGTTTCACATTAAGAATGAATCTCAGTAACAGCCTTAAAAAAAAAAGCTGTCAGCTGCTGAGGATTCTGGGATACGTTGTTCTTTGTGTGAGGATTTATTTCATACAGATTATAAATGATCCTCTTACCCGGGGTTCTGCTCGTCCTGGTGTGTTTTCTGTAAATGAAGAACAGAGTCACGATCAGGATGGTCACCACCGTCCCCAGACCCACACAGATCCACAGAGCCGGACTCAGGAACATCATGGAGGATAACTGAGGGGCAGGAGACGTGGATTTCACCTGGACCACGGGAGGCAGGGGCGGCTCTGAGAGGAAAATACTGATTATATACCTCAACACAAAAACACAGATCACATGTTCAACAGTCAGAGCGACATTCAGTCAAACACATCTAAAGAGTCAGCTCTGATTCAGAGGAGGTATCAAGGTGTCAATGTGGAGCCCTGCGTAGGGTTTAAATGTATCTCTGTAGATATTCAAGTCAACACACAAAAAGCAGAGACAGAGCTTTGTCAAAGCCACACAGAGACGTTCAGAGACTCACCTGTGGGCCACTCGGTAGGTTTAGGTCTGTTTATGGTCCTGCTGGAGATGCAGTGTTTGACGAGGAGGTCCCACTTTTCACCCACTGGACAGTCCTTCTTGGCCATGTCTGAAAAGTGGCTGCTGAGCCACGCTCCTCCGATGTTAATGACACAAACCCTGAAAAAAACCCTCTGAGGACAGAGAGCGGTGAGACCCGGAGGATGAGATGCAAAAGGGAGGATTTGTGAAATGAGTGCAGAGTGCTGAACAGACGTTTCAGTTCCTCTATTTCAGAGGAAAGACCGAATCACTACCCGAGTCCCCGAGGACGAGACAGAAACAGAGAGAGAGAGAGGCTTATAGAACAGAGAGGTCCTGACATCACAGATCTGTACTTTATTAAACCTTAGATTCAGCTGTGGTCATTTGACCGTACAGTATGTTGACATGAAGCTCTGGATCCATGGATCAGGTTTCTCCTGACAGTGAGATCTCCGTCTGACTCACAAAATCTGATCTTTAAAGTGAGAATTACATTATGAGTAATCTCTACCTGCGTGTGATCTCTCGGGGTCTGGATTTTCAGTAGGTAACGTGTTCTGGTTTCAGTTTAAAGGACATTTGTCGGCCGAGCTGTATTGACCAATCAGGAGTCAGCATGCTTTACTGAATCAGGACAGTAAAAAAACAGATGCTAATGACACACCAGCTCCCAAAGTTTGCACCCTACCCCTAAAAAACATAATTTCTAATCCAACAACTCAAACACAAGAACTTTGAATACAGAAACAAATCAGGATCACCTGAGTCAAAACACTAAAGAACTCACCGAGAGCAACAGTGTGATGTCATCAAGATTCAGCACAGGAGAACAAGACGAGGATGTCGACTCTCTCTCTCTACTCTACATGGAACCACTCGCTGCAGCAGTCAAACATAACACACAAGATAACTCTTTATGCTGACGACATCATACTTTACCTACAGACTCCACAAACCTCACTTCAAGAAACAATGAATCAAAAACATTCCAAAATCTGAAACTATTCAATAAACTGGACTAAGCCGACACTACTCCAATCTCTGTAAAGAGCAGCCCTACCACCACCCATTCCCTCCACCACTGATACTATAAGATAACACTTCAAACACCAAAACATACCAGACGACTGGATGCACCAACTACTTCCTGTTACAAATCATAACCAGATGGATACACCCCACAGAACAATCCAGGCCATGGCTACACATAGAACAGCAACAAGGAAAATATATACTCATATCAATCCTACCATTTATCAAAATCATATCATCGCTACAGCCCTAACAGAGTGGTGGAAAACTCACAAAGTAATGATCACAACACCCACACCCTGTAAGAACACACCAACATGGAACAACCCAGACGTTCATCAAAACCACAAAACACTGAATCTCACCGATGGGAAGGACCAAGACATCCCCCAGCTTCACCACATCATTCAAGACTTAACCTTCATCCCCTTCAAAGAATTAACTCAAAAGTACAATATAAGAATAAATCTCACTTCCAATATCTTCAAATCCAATCAAACACAGAAGTTTAACCTCAAACAAGACGACAGCGACAAATCACCACGAGCAGACACAAACCTCAAACTCTTAAACACACAGCCAAAAGATTTATCCACAACAACAGACCATGAAACCTGGAATATAATCTGCAACAACACCTTCTCAGTGACAAACAGAAACTCCAACTGATTCAGTATAAGATTAACCACAGAACTCACACTTCAGGGTTTCACTTTACCGCTCCAATAACTGTTCATTAAGCCCAGCCCCCCTAACAACCTTGGATGACTTCTGCCCATCCCCCATTCAGACATTCTGGACACAAGTCACAAATAAACTGCCCGGTTCCACTCCCCCATCACTACGCATTCTCGGTAACACATTTTCAATCACACCTCCCAACGACCAAAAAAACACAAACTACTCATCGCGCTCACTGTCGCCAAGAAAACAATCTTCCTCAACTGGAAACAAACAGCTCAGTATGGATGAACACGTTACCATGGAAACACTTAAACATCCACTTCTGGACATGAGGCATGCAACAGAACCGCTATGCTACCCAGCGCCCCGGGTCACTGACCATCTTAGAGTTCCCTGTTCAGTTTAAGACCGCCTGATAAAAAATATAAATACATTTCTAAACAACAACATGAACTTTCAGAGAACACATTTACTGAAAAGTGGAGCAGCAGAAGACGGAGAGGATGGACTTCTCTCATCATGTAGACAGACTAGAGGAACATGGGGAAGAGGATTTAATATGTGACCTTTAAAGTGAGAAAATCACAAGATATGAAACAGAGTGAGAGTGAAGCTGTGGTTTAATTTATTTTGTTGAACTGAGACTCAGATGAACGTTTAAGTTGTAGACATTAACGCCACTCAGAAAAGGAACTCCTGCCTGGAAGTCGTTCAACGCTAACCGCTGACTTCACTGGAAAGAGGAATGAGAAATTCACAGATTCTCAGACTGTGCTGTGATGACCTGAATGAAAGTTTGCACCAGAGGAAACATCAGAGCAAGAATACAGACGGAGACCGGACAGTCCTGAAAAACTTTAAAACTTTAATCACAACAGGAAGTAAGACGGAGATGAGCAGCATCATCAAAACACAAACCTGAGAGACTCTGATGGAGCACATAAAACCTGAGGATGACATCATCACACAGACCATGACATCATCACACAGACCATGACATCATTACACAGACCATGACATCTTCACACAGTCCATGACATCATCACACAGACCATGACATCATCACACAGACCATGACATCATCACACAGACCATGACATCATACACAGACCATGACATCATCACTGACCATGACATCATCAAACTGACCATGACATCATCAAACAGACCATGACATCATCAACAGACCATGACATCATCACACAGTCCATGACATCATCACACAGACTGATTAGAGATTTGAAATATAAAAAGAGTTTATAAAATCATTAAACTCTGAAGGTATAAAACACATTTCACTCAGTTCTTCTTTTTCATGAATAGAAACTGCAGGTTAAAAAATGTGAC